TAAAACATTATTAAGCATTCTTTGAGCATGTTTATGCTTGACCAGGTGTCATGGCCCTGCAATCCCAGCATGTGAAAGGCAGAACTCTGTGAGTTTGAGGCCAGCCAGGGCTACATAGTAAGAACTTGCCTAGCTAAATAAGTAAGTAAGTAAATAAATTCCCACTTGTTAAGTATTTTAAGTGTCTGCATACGATCCTTTTGAGCCACCATAAATGTTGACTCCTATCACTATCACTAAAAATAGTATTATCTATTAACTTAAACTCCTAAAACTTTGTATGCAAATTTTTAGAGCCCTCACCTTGCAAAAGTTTTATCCAGTGTTTAATCTCTCGCACCAGGACAAAGTTTAGTTAACGGAAAAGTCCTGCTTCGTTCTCACAGTAGCCCTTTGAGAAAGGCTGTGAGGTTGGATCCCAGCCAATGGGAGAAGACTCAGTCACTACTGTCTTAGAATAAAAACCAAGCAACCTCCCGCGCCCCACCACCACCCCGCACCCCGCCCCCGCACACGGCCCCACTGCCCCACTTCCACGTCCTAGCTCTTCCCTTCTACAAGCAGCACACCCTCTGATCTGATGCAGTTTCCAGAGATTCGTTAATTGGAATGCCTGAGACTGTGAACTTACCTGTAACACACTGCGGTTCTCTCCAGGTTCTTGGTATTATAGTGTTCCTGTACTTTGCTACACAGAACTTCACTGGGTTTCTTTTTTTGTTTTGCTTTGTTTTTTGTTTGTTTGTTTGTTTGTTTTGTTTTTCTTTTTTGAGATACTTTATTTATAATAAATTCCAAGGATGCAATTTATGAACCAAACAGTAGAAACTACATTTCCATTGGTTGTTAAGTGCCTGGCCCTTTTTTGTTTTGCTGATTGGTCACTTTCCTGAATTCTCTGGTTGTATCTGCCACTTATAGAAGCTTGAATATCCTGACTAGTGTTGGGTTTTCCTGCAGAGGAATCCAACTTCTGCTGGCAAGAGCTGCTCTGAAGCAGTGGGTCTGGGGAGTCCCTGTAAGGACAGCAGGGACATGTGTAGCTTCTGAGGGCAACTATCCAGTGGGGAACTCGGTTCCACAAAGCAGAGTGTATCATACTGCCCTCACTTTGCAGTTAAGAAAATGAAACAACATGAGGAACAGTGTGAGGATGTTAAATAACCGAGTCTGTTAAACACTTGGGGAACAGGAAGTTAAACTCACAGTCTAACACAAGTGTCTTAAAGATGACCACACACACTCTCGTTGATGTGGGACTAGATTGGGCATGCTCAATTAGGCTTGTTTTTGTAAACAGGCTCTCTTGATTTAGCCTCAGACTTCTATGTAGCTGAGTCTGGCCCTGAAGCACTGACTCTCCTGTCTTTTTATTATTGATGTTGCACTTTAAGAAACGGGTCTCGCCATGCTGTGCAGACTGACTCCTGCTTCAGTCCTCGTGAGTATTCTGGGCAACTGGCATGTGCACCCCGCCACACGTGTTCTGTTTTCTTCTGTATATATTGTGGAAATTATAGATAATTAACTCATTCCCTGCCTTAGCAATAGTTTTTAAATGAGTGACTTGTTGATTTCAGTGTTTTGATTGTCACATCAAGTCTTTATATGTGTGCATATAAATAGAATATAAAATACAGTTGCCAGCCAGTTTCTATGTGATCGCTCCTCCATAGTGACTACGTAAAGACAAGAGTCTATTCCAATTCCATTCTTTAAAACAAATGACAAAGACACTCAGTGATAGTTTGGTTTGTGATTGGGTTTTTAAAAAAAAAATACTTGTGGTTAAATTTCATATGTGAAATTCTTTCCTGTTTTTATTTGCTTTTTCTAGAGAGACTTCAGCATGCTTTTTTTTTTTTGAACAGACCTGTGTACAGTGGTTTGTGTCTGTAATCCCAGCATTCAGGGGACTGAGGCTGGAGAATTGCTACAAGTTGGAGCCTGCTTGGGCTTCACAGCAAGATACTGTCTTTTTTTTTTTTTTTTTTTTTTTTTTTAAGTTGGTTGGGATGGGTGAGAGGAAAGAGTGAACCAGTTTCTCACCTTTCCATGGGGTTATTTATAGCTAGGTAAGTAGGTCACTGGAATATACTCACATATCTGATTGCATAAACAGCGCTTGGAATAGAACCACGCTTCTCACCGTGCCACCCAAGGTGACTGGTTGTCCTGCCCTATCACCCCTGCTTTCCTAGACATTCACGGGTCCATCTCCACAGTCGAGCATGACTCTTCCCCAGTGTGCAGCTCATGTCCAGGTCACAACAGTTTTCAGCGTCTCCCTGCACTCTTCCTTCCGTTTTCCACTCACCCTGGCCAGAGCAGTCTAACTGATGTTCTGCAGCTCCTCCCACTCATTGTCTTCCTCCATTCTCCCCGCTCTCTAGAGTCCCTGCCACCCAACTCTCAACTTCACCTGCAGCCATCACAGAGAACCCAGCAAAGCAGACCTTTTCAGTGATCTGTGTGCATTCCATATGCGCTGCCATCTTTTATGGGAAGAGTAGCTGTCCTGCTGCCTTTCCTCCAACACACACCCAAGCCCATCTCTCTGTTCCTCCTGCTTTCCCAGATACCATTAGCGGCTGAGCCACCATTTCCACCCTTCGGTGCTAACCCACCAACACCACTGCAGCGCCATGTCCTGTTCTCTCTCTCGGTGAGCCTTGGCATAAGGGGGAAGATGGACTTTGACATGACCTGAATCTGGGTTTGAATTCAGTTTGCACCTGGTTATATTGTATTTCCTCATATAAAACAAGCTGGATTAGAACCCTTTCACAGAAGCTTTGAAAAGATCAAATAAGATAAATATGTATGGATTTTGTTTGTATGATGCTTCTGACATGTAATAAATAATAAATGACAGTGATTTCTATAGTGATTATGATCATGCCAACTGCTCAGTTGATGTTTGTCGGCCACTGTGAGCCACCAAAAATTTTATTTATTCCTTCTCACTGCTCAGATGATTGTAAATATCACATGACAGTAGTAGTAGAGTCTCTCTCTCCCTCCCTCCTTCCCTCCCTCCCTCCCCCCCTTTGTGCATGTGTGTGTGTCTACTCTCTCGAGCCCACAGATGTGTTTATAGGTGCATGGTATGTGCATGTGTATGTATGTGGAGCCCAGAGATCAACACTGGATGTCTTTTTTTTAATTGCTGTCCACCTTATTCTTATGAGATGGGAACTTGCTGATTGGACTGTTCTGGCTAGTGAGCTCCAGGGATCTACCTGTCTCAGCCTCCACCCCTGCCCCATTGTTTCTTGTAGGTATCCCTGCTGGCTAGTATTGTTGTCAACTTGACACAAGCTGAAGTCATCTGAGAGGAGGGAAGAAACCTCAATTAAGAAAATACTTCCATAAGATCCCGGCTGTAGGCAAGCCTGTAGGGCATTTTCTTACCTAGTGATTGATGAGGAAGGGCCCAGCCCATTGTAGATGGTACCACTCCTAGGCTGGTGGTCCTGGGTTCTATATGAAACCAGGCTGAACAAGCCAGAGGAGCAAGTCAGTGAGCAGTACTTTTCCACAGGCTCTGAATCAGATCCTGCCTTGACTTCCCTCAATGATGGGCTGTCACCTGGAAATGTAAGCTGAAATAAACCTCTTCCTCCCCCAGTTGCCTTGCTCATGGTGTCTTATCACAGCAGTGATAACTCTAACTAAGACAGTAAGCTACACAGAATTTGAATATGGGATGTTTGGTTGTTTCATTGTTTAGAAAAATGCCTCATTTCAAGAAATAAAGAGGTTGCATCCATTCCAAGAAGATGCCCTTCTCCCCCTCCTCCTCTACCTCTCCTCTACCCCTCCTCCTCCACCCCTTCTCCTCCTCCTTTGTTGTGGTTCTGAGCTTTGAACCCAGGGCATCATACATGGTATGCAACAAGAAACATTTTTATAGCATAAAACACTATGTTCTCATACAAAGAGAATAAATTCTGAAACTAAAAATGCATAAAGTGAGAGATTCAAGAAAAATGACTCTTTTGCATCCCATATCAAGTTCTCTGTCAGTTGACTACATGGCAACACATACACCTATAACCTCAGCATTTGGTGGGCTGGAGTACAGTCAGTGAGTTTGAGTTCAGCCTGGCCTACAAAATGAAATCTATCTCATATAAAACAGCAACAACAAAAGGTACTCTTCATTCAAGTATAAGTTAATCTATTTCAGAAATTGAGATAGCTTATAAGAAAAATGAAACTTAAAATTTAGAGAAGAATTAAATATCTTAAAACTTACATCTTGGGGCTGAGCAAATGGCTTGGTAGGTAAGGTGCTTGCCACACAGCATAAGGACCTGAGTTTGGGTCCCTAGAACCCACATTTAAAGAGTATGGTGGTACATGGCCTCAGTGCTGGGAGTGTGTGGAGAGGGGCTGACTGGACAGTCAGTCACTCTAGCCAAACTGGTGTATGCCAGACTCAGGGAGATTCCTCACCTCAAAAAACTAAAGTAGGATGATTGAAAGAGATACCTGATACTGATCTCCACATGTCCACATAAGAAAGCATACACATGCTCACACATGTGGACATGCATGTGTATGCATGCACACATTTCTGGCAGAGTGTCAGATGTGTGTTATAACAGGAACATCAAATCCTATTAGGGATTGCCCTGTTCTGGCGTTAACAGAAGGCAGTACGTTTATTCTTAGAGGAACACACACCACATCAGCCCTCAAATAGTCCTGCAACTGGAAGGTTCTGAGGATATGACTAAAGCAGCCATTTTCCAAAGGTGGCTGCCTGGTCCCACAAACAGATTTAAACAGAAAACCTGCATGAGTAGCAGGGGAGCACTTAGCACCAGGAGCAGGAAGCGAGCATGACACAGAGGAGTTCCTTTGACATGGAGTCAGTTGTATCACATATGTCGGCCTTAATCTAGAGTGTGAGATGGAGTCCCCGGCCACATGGGCTCTGCCTTCCCCACTTGTCAAATATGTTTTGCTATCTTTTTTTTTTTTCTTAATAGGGATCACATGCAGTGGTCTAAAGAAGAGGAAGACGAAGCTAGGAAAAAAGTAGAGGAAAACTCAGCCACGCGAGTGGCTCCAGAAGAACAAGGTAAAGCTGGCATTGTGTCCCAGCATTTGAAGGTTCTTAGCTTCCACCCTTGCCAGTCAACCCATTTGCTACCTTTGGTGGGATTCCCAGTTCTTCCCTTGTAGTGGAACCAAAATTAATGAAATAAATTATGTATTCACCCTATAATTGGTCTTTTGGTAGTCATATTGCTTTTTCTGGGAGATATACATATGGGTGGCATTTTAAACAAGATATGAAAATATAACTTTAAAATTTCCTTCTAGCTATGCCACTTTCAGTGTGTCATTGTGTGCTTCACTTGCTAGAAACTTCTAACAAATTCATAAACTTTGAATAGAAAGAAAAAGTCATATCAAAATATTGTTTTATCCTTTTAGAATAAGGGTGTGTGTGTTCATGAGTGTGTGCATTTGTGTGTGTGTGTGGGGGTGTGTGCTAGCACTCATGCATATGGGCACGCACGCATATGTGTATGTGTGCACATATGAGCGTTTCAGGGCACTCATGTACCTGATTAGGAATCAGAGGTCAATTTCAAGTGTCTTTCTCTTTCACTCTCCACCTTAGTTTTTTTGAGACAAGGTCTGTCACGGAACGTGGAGCTCACTGTTTCAGCTAGACTGGCTGGACAGTGAGTTCTCTCTCTGCCCCACCCCACTCCCAGATCTGAGGTCACAGAAGCATGTTTCCACACCAGGAAGCCTAGCTCAAGTCGTCCTGCCTTCACAGCAGGCTCGTTCCCCACTGAGCTTCCTTCCCAGCCCAGGATAAGGTTTTAATCGGGATCAAAAGCAATTTTCTTGGGAGACTTTGTGTTTAGCGTTTAATTCAGGGAAGGACTTGACAACTTCATAAATAGCTCTTGACGTTCGTCTTGGGCTATTATTAAACTACTAGAAATTGACAAGTGTTGAGAAGATTGCAGAGAAACAGGAGCCCTTGCGCACATTTGCTGTGAATGGTACAGCCACTATGGAAACCATTGTGCAGGCTCCCTAAAAATTAAAAATGGAGGGACTGGAGGGATGGCTCAGCAGTTAAGAGCAATTACTGTACTGGCTGCTCTTGCAGAGGACAGTTCAGTTCCTAGCACCCACATGACAACCAACAACTGCCTATAATTCCTGTCCCAGGCAATCCAGTACCCTCCTCTAACCTCCATGGGCAACAGGCATGCATGGGGAACACTTACATCTACTCAGGGAAGCACTCATACAAATAAAATAAATCCTCAAAAAAAAATTAAAATAGTATTCCCTATAACACACCAGTCACTTTTAAGATAGATTCCCCAAAGATTCAAAGCACGCTCTTGAAGTATGCCTTCCATGTTCATAGCAGTAGTCTCCATGATAGGCAACAGAGAAACATAATCAAACCATAAGTGTTACAAAACAAGCAACAGTATTAAATAATGTCCTGTTCATAAGTGGGTGAAAATCCGCATGAGTTTAGCCTTAGAGGAAAGAACAGCTCGGTGCTAATACCTGAGGGATAGTGGTAGCAATGTCCAGTGTCCCGAGGACATGGCATGAGCAGCCGTTTCCCAGGGCCTGTAGCTACCATAGAGAGATGGATAATAAAATGTGCTACATGATGGTGATTGCCAAGGGCTGGGTAGGTGGAGAGATGGAGTCATGTAATGGCTGAGAGTTAGAGTTTGCATTATGGGAAGACTCCAGAGGTCTGCTTCACAACAGTGTGAGCAAAGCTAACACTGTGGGACCATGCACTTAAGAATGACTAAGATGCTCCATTTTATGTGGTTTCATCACAATTTTAAAAAATATCATGCCGAAAAAAATGTTTAGAAGTGGTCAGTGTCCTTCACAGTGAGTGACTCCTAGTCACCTTGCCTAACAGCTGTACTCTCTGTATACCATTTTCTACCTTATTTTTCTTAAAATGACATTTTCTTTAGAATATCTCCTGCGCGTGCTCTCTCTCTCTCTCTCTCTCTCTCTCTCTCTCTCTCTCTCTCTCTCTTTCTCTGTTTGTTTTTTGTTTTTCAAAACAGGGTTTCTCTGTGTAGTCCTGGCTGTCCTGGAACTCATTCTGCTCATTCTGTAGACCAGGCTGGCCTTGAACTCAGAAATCCACCTGTCTCTGCCTCCCAAGTGCTGGGATTAAAGGTGTGTGCCACCACTGCCTGGCTTTTTTTTTTTTTAAGATTTATTTATTTATTTATTTAATGTATGTGAGTACACTGTAGCTGTCTTCAGACACACCATAAGAGGGCATTGGATCCCATTACAGATGGCTGTGAGCCTCCAGGTGGTTGCTGGGAATTGGAATTGGACTTGGACTTAGGACCTCAGGAAAAGCAGACAGTGCTCTTAACCACCGAGACATCTCTCTAGCCCCCTCTCTCCTTTTCTTGTGTGTGTGTGTGTGTGTGTGTAGGTATGTTCATGTGTACACAAGTGCACATATGTACATGTGTGTGCATATGCATGTGGAGACAAGAGGTCAGCCTGGAGTGCTGTTCCTTAGTTACTAGTCATATTTTGTGGGGAGGGGGTCAGGCAGGGTTTTTCACTGACCTAGGCCCCATCAAGGAGGTTGGGCTGGCTGCCAGGGAGCCCCAGGTACCCACTCACCCTGCCTCCTTGTTGCTGTGATTATAAGTCTGTGCTACCATGCCAGGTTTTGTTGTTGGTTTTGCTTTGTTTGTTTTTAATGTGGATTCTTGCAGATCAACTCTGGGCTTTGTGCTTGAGAAGCAGGCACACTTCACTGCTGAGCCATCTCCCCAGGTCTGGCTCCTCCTACCTAGTCCTGAGCTGCATGTACTGGGGGAGAAACTCCTTACAGGGCAAGCACTTTACCTACTGAACTAACTTACTGTGCAGCACTGGCTGGCATAACTCAAAATCTAATAACCAATGCATCCTCAAGGTTGCAGTGACCCTCCTGCCTTTGACTTCTGGGTGCTAGGATGGTTGGATTTATTTCTTTACCAAAATATTTACTAGAACCAAGCATGATGATACACATCTGTAATCTGAGGTGGATTACTGTGAGTTTGAGGAAAGCCTGAGGTACATAGTGAACTTGGTAGCTGCCTGAGCTGTCTGGTAAGATGCCATCTCATAAGCCAAAAATAAATAATTTGTTGAAGTACCAAATATATACAGAAATTTATATAATCCACAAGAGTTCTCACATAGTTTGCTGGATTTTCACGTTCGTGTAAGCAGCACCGACAAGGAGAATCAGGAAGTTACCAGTAGCATAGCAGCTTTCTTGTACTACTAATTAGCCCTCCATCCCTCACACCTCTCAAGAGCAGCTCCCATCTTGGCTTTTTTAACACCACGGCTTTGTTTGGGTGCTACTCGTTCTGATCATTCCTATGGCAGTCTCTGTGTTTCAGAACAGACTGGAGTTGGTAGACTGTGATGTGTGTGTGTTTGTTTGTTTGTTTGTTTTTTTAAGTGGGGGTATTGTGTGTGTGTGTGTGTGTTTACAGGGTGAATGTAGGTCTGAGGTTGATATGTGTGTCTTCCTTAATAACTCCAGTTTATTTACTGAAGTAAGGTCTCTTGCTGAAGTTGGAACCTGCAGATTATGATTAGTCTAGCTAGCAAGTTTGCCCCTGGGATCTCTATTCTCTGCCTCTCTGGTGCCTCTCTAGATTCTTTCAAAGCTAGAATTCTAGTGCTAGATTGACCAGCTATCCAGAAACTCCCCAGGGAAAAATGTTTGCACTCCTCCCTGTAAGGCACATAGTGAAAATCAGGAGAAACACAGTTGAAATGATGTTAGTCTGCAGTTGCTGAAATTTGAAGCAAAGATATCTGGGAAGGCTAAGAGAATGAGACAGCTCTCAGCCTTTAGCTGGCAAAAAGATCCAGTGCAACCTATCCTGCTCTCTGGAGTCGTCGATAGCCTATTGATCTCTCTGGCATTGTTTGTTATTCCTTAGCGGTAGTCCTTCACCCTCAGCATCTGTGTATCTTGGGTGGACAGGAAAGATGAGCCTCTGACCCCAGTGGAATTATTTTTATGAGCTCTAGCTGGGCAGACCTGGGTAGAATACAGCCAGGGACCGTTGGGTTGGACTGGAGGGTGCATACCAGGCCCAGTGCTGCCTTCAGTCGGCCAGCATCACATTCCCTCACAGGAACTCTGTCACTGCTTCTGAGGAAGTATCACTTCACTTCTTTGTCAGCAGCTGTGCAGACATATTTTCCACATTACTCAGGCTTCTGCTAGTGGCCACCTGAGTATGACAGGGCCTCCAGCTTGAAGTTCAACATTATCAGTTGTTTTAATTTACTTCTAGGAAATGAAAACTCATTCATAGTATTATCTGCACATTATCCTAATAATATGAAAAGGCGTGGATTTTTTTTAAAACTTCCTTTTGAATATTTGTGTTCAGAACTTAAATAGAGCAGGGCTGATAATGTTAAAGTTCTCTGTGCACGGCCGCCCACTTTGTCCTATTTGAGCTAACAATGAAGTTGAGTGCAGCTAATGAGGTTATTTCAGAGCCTCAAAAACCGCAGTAAAGGAAAACGACAGTTCCCACAGAACCATAGTGGGACCAAAATAGAAACGTGGTGACTGGCCTCTCTATAAAAGAGGAAAAGGCAGGAGCAAGAAGGCCGCTGGTACCACTTTGAGGTGTTTGCTTTGCTACTACTACGGCAGTCTTTTCTGAGTACTTTTCTGGCTACTGTGAAGATAAAGAACTGAAGATTCCATTTCAGAATGACTCAAAGAAATAGAAATTTGTTCTGGGTCACCTCTGCATCCGCCACTCAGTGCACTGGGCGCCACGGTGTCAGGACCACGGCAGGAAAAGACTTGAGTTGTACAGAGGATATCTTGTACTTAAAGCAAGGTAGTGCAGAAAGTGCTAAGACTCTCAGGGGGTAGCAAGGAAGGAAACTGTGGTCTAAGGAACATCAGTGAGTGACAGGATGTCTCAGGGACAGCCACCCAGCAGAGTCTCTGCTAGGATCGCAGACCCCACTCACCCCTTGAGTGAGGCTTCTCATTCGCTGTGT